CATTTAAAAATTATTATAGTCTTATTGTTAGTGTATTTTTATATTAGAGCTTTCATTTTAAAATATTAAAACAAAATTTGTTTCTCATCAGAACATTGTTTATTTTCAATTTGTTTGTTTCAGAAAGGAATTTCGGAAAGATGTGTTCCAGGAAGGTTTTCAAGAAGACATTTTAAGCAGATAATATATTTATGGTAATGTATGTTTAAATATTAAAATATTGTATTATTCGTATTTTCTTTGAATTAATAAAAATTTAATATTATAATAATGTTATATATTTAAAAATTAAACAAAATTTTGTAATAATAAAAATAATGATGAAATGATGATGATGATGACAATGATGATGATGACGATGATGATGATGACGATGATAATGATGATGATGATGATATAATTATAATGATTATGATGATAATAATGATTACAATAACGATGATAATAATAATGATGACAAATAATAATGAAATAATAATAATAATAATGATGTTGATGATGATGATAATGATGATAATTCTAATAATAATGATGACAATAATAATGATAATGTTATTATAAAATATTGAATTTGAAAAAAATTATCTCTCTCTCTCTTGTGTTATATTTTTTATAAAGTTATTAGATGTAAAAATTCTTTATTCTTGTTTTATTATATGTAAAAATTCTTTATTTTTGTTATTTACTTTATTATTTTACTTTTAATTCATTTGTGTATTTCAAAAATATTCATTGATTTTCTAAAATTTTATATTAATATAATTTATTTTTATGTGTATCTTTATAATACACCATTAATTACAAATTTTTTAATTACATATCAATAATTTATTTTTAATTTGTTTTAATTAAAAATAATTATTTTAATTAAATTATATATAATTATTAAATATTTATATTTTAATTATGCCACGACGTAAAATAGAACGATCTTTTGAAGAAGAAAAAGAATTTCACACAACAACAACGTCGTAAAAGAAAAGCAGATAATCAACATCAGCGTAATGAAGTTATAAGAACTTTAAATAATCAAGACCTATAAATATAGATGTTCAAGGTACAATACATGATAATCGTATAAACATAAGTGATGAAATAAATGGAGAATCTTCCACAAATATTACTACAGCTTACCATCAACAAGCCTAATATCAATTCTATTACAGATTACGTAAAAGAAACAAACCTTATTTAAATATTAATAGTACAATATATCCATAAACTATTTAACAGAATATTATATTGGTTCCATGGATGTATTATGTATCTATTGTAATGCAAAACATTTTGCAGCTGAGAAAATATCCAATAAAGGTAATTTATTTCATGACTGTTGTAATCATGGTGCGGTTTATTTGGAATCATTACCTCAATCTCCAGAATTTCTTCGTTGTTTATTTAATAATAATCATTCAAAATCTAATAACTTTTTCCAATATATTCGTACTTATAATAATTCTTTTTCATTTGCATCATTTAATGCTAATTTAGTTAATTTTTCAAATAGATGACCGGGTCCATATTGTTTTAAAATACAAGAGCAAATTTATTACCAAATAAATACAGCATTATATGCTACTCAAAATGAAAATCCGAGTTACGGTCAGCTTTTTATTATAGATTCTAATGAAGCAATAAATTATCGTCTAATTGAAAATTCAGAATTAGATTTAGAAATCATACAAAATCTTGAACGTATAATGCGAGAATGTAATATATTTGCTCAATCTTATCAAATGATGGGTGAAGAATTAGAAAATCAACGACAATTAGAAATGGAGAATTATTACCAGAATTGCAATTATTATTTACGTTAAAACCAGGAATTGATCAACGACGATATAATACTTAAAAAATTAATGAAGTTGCTGTTGTTTTTCGTACAACTGCTGATAGAGAAATTCCAGAATCATATGTAACAATACGTAATAGAAATACGAAAACTTTACAAAATGTTAGTACTATGGATCCAAATGTTGAGCCATGAATATATCCATTATTTTATCCATATGGTACTCAAGGTTGGCATTGTAATTTAACAAAATTAAATAGTAACAAACGAATAACTAGAGGGCAGTATATTAAATACCGTATAGCTATTCGTGATGAATTTAATATTTTTTTACGAGGTCGTCGTTTATTTTAACAATGGCTGTGTAGATAGCTATGTAAAAATTGAAAAGGATAGAATAAATTATTGTAAAGATCAAAAAGAATTATGTACTGAAACATATCAAGGATTGAAGGATTATATGAAAACGATGGCGAATAATTTAAATGGATGTATTGGAAAGATGGTTATACTTCCATCCACATTTATTGGATCACCTCGTAATATGTTACAAAATTATCAAGATTCAATGGCAATTGTTAGTAAATTTGGTAAACCAGATCTTTTCATTACAATGACTTGCAATCCAAAATGGCGTGAAATCGAAGAAAATCTTTTGAATGGATAACAAGCTTCTGATAGACCTGATATTTGTGTACGTGTTTTTAATATTAAAAAGGATTATTTGATTGATTTAATTGTTAAACAAAAATTTTTTGGAGAAGTAGCAGCTTTTGTATATGTTATTGAATTTCAAAAACGTGGTTTACCACATATTCACATGTTAGTTACTTTAAGATACAATTTTAAAATAACAACCCCACAAATTGTGGATAAATATATTTCTGCTGAAATTCCTGTTCCATGTGAAAATCGTATTTTACACGATATAGTAATGAAACACATGATTCATGGACCTTGTGGTGATTGGTGTTTAGTAGATGAAAAATGTTCAAAACACACACACACCACACACACATTATCCTAAGTCATATCTTGAAGATACCAGAATGGATAAAGATACTATCCTTATTATCGTCGACGAAATAATGGTAAAAGTTTTGAACGCCCTGGTGGATATGTAATTGATAATCGTTACGTAGTTCCGTATTGTCCTATTTTATCAATTATTTTTAATTGTCATATAAATATTGAGGTAGTTTCAAGTATCAAATCAGTTAAATATTTATATAAGTATATTTACAAAGGACATGATGCAGCTGCAATAACAATTGAGCCAATAACAGATAATGTAATTATTGATCACGATGAAATACGTAATTTTATAGAAACTCGTTATGTTGGACCTGTAGAAGCTTGTTGGCGTATTCTTGAAAAGAAGCTACAAGATGAAAGTCATACTATAATTCGTTTACCAATTCATCTTCCTAATGAATAAAGTGTTATAATTGAAAATGAAGCTGTTGAAGAAACAATGATTTCAGCTTTAAATCAAGCTACAATGTTAATTGATTATTTCTCCTTAAATTCTCGTGATTAAGAAGCAAAACAATATTTATATGTAGAAATTCCACGGTATTAGAGGAAAGTCCCCTATTATGAGATAGACGCCTAATATGAGATAGCAGCGTTTCTGCTAAACTAATAAACGCTATCTATTGGTTCCATTATGAATTTATTGCTCTTGGATTGAAAACTATTTAGTAAAAAGTTCATTATTAGATCATGCCTGTAGTTATTGTAAAACAAGATTTTAGAATTTGGATATTTTCAAGTTTTATTGAGATGAGCATTTAAACCTTGTTTATTATTTCATAAATAAATATTTGGCAATAAAATCTTCATGTAATGATAAAGTAAGGTCGTACTAATAGAAAAATATGGAATATGTTGAATTGTTTAATTATAGAAGTTAGATTTGATGATCGTAAAGCTATAAGGCGTGGAAATCGTAATATGAGATACCCAGGGTATTCCTAATATGAAATATATATTAGGAATGCTCCTATGTTATAGTGAAAATCGTTGCTAAAGTATAAATGTTATTGTACAATAATAAAAAAGACAACCGAAATGAACATCGAATGCCTATATCTGCGATGCTTGATTCCAACTACCTGAAAACAAGTTCTAAGTATAATCTATTGTATGCTCATTTTTCGCGCACGCTGGCTATGTTTGTTCGTATTTTAGAAACATTAAATAAAGTTTTTTAATTGCAATATTGATATACTTTCCGTTTTACTATCGATTTTTCGGGACATCTCATATTAGGAGCACAATTTTTTCATTTTGCGTTTTGCTCACTTTTTACATTTCTTTCATTTAAAAAAAAGTGGAATTTGAATTAAATTTTAGGTAACGTCATCTTAAAGCTTATTAGATTCCTTTCAAAATGATCTATCATTTTTTTTTATTCTGCTTATAGACTTTTAGCATTTACCCAAAATGAATTCGATATCTCATAATAGGGACCTTTCCTCCATATATTTAAGAAAGAGAAAATCAATGGAAGAAATGTATCACGTTGGACTAAACATAAAAGTCATTTTAATTGTATAGGACGAATGTATTGTTAATCCAACACAAACTGAATTATTTCATTTACGGCTATTATTACTTACTGTAAAGAGAGCTATAAGTTTTAGTGATTTGAGAACTGTAAATGGAGAAGTATATCAATCATTTTCAGCAGCATGCTTAGCTTTAGGTTTAATTGAAAATGATGAGGAATGAAAACGAGCTATGACTGAAGCTGTTGGATGGATGATGCCCTGACAACTTCGCAAACTATTTGTACATATATTATTACATTGTCAACCGTTGCATCCTGAAGAGCTTTGGGAAAATTTTAAAGTAGCAATGTCAGAAGATTATTTTCGACCCTTTGGATTGTTAGAAGGACAAAGGAAAGCATACACACAAATTAATACTATACTTTATGCTGAAGGTAAAAGTTTTGCAGATTTTCCACAAATGGAACAATTAATAGAAAATAATGAAGAACGTGATTATATGACATTTGAAGAAGATATGGAAATTGGTAACAGACAATATGATCAATTAAATAATAAACAAAAAGAGATAGTAAATTTTATATTAAATAAATTAGATACTAATGATCATAGTAATAATTGTATTTATATCGATGGTCCAGGTGGTTCAGGTAAAACATTTATATATACGACTATTTATCATTTAGTGAAAATTCGAAACAAACGTATATGTACAATGACCTTTACAGGCATTGCAGCGACATTATTGCCAGCAGGAAAAACAGTTCACAAAACATTTGGATTGCCGGTTCCATTATTTGCTGATTCATCATCCAGCATTAAAATTCAATCTAAGGAAGCTCATTATTTAAAAGAAGTAGACATTTTTATTTGGGATGAAGCACCAATAGCTCCACAATATGCTTTAGAAATTGTGGATCGAACGTTGCGTGATATTATGAATAATAATTTACCTTTCGGTGAAAAAATTATTGTGTTAGGTGGTGATTTTAGACAACTTCTTCCTATTAAAGTACATGGTACTCGAAGTGAAATTATAAATCTTTCAATCAAATTTAGTTCTGTTTGGAAATATTTTATAAATTTCTCTTTAACGGGAAACATGCGAGTTCTTCCAGAAGAAATTGAATTTGTAAAATTTCTGTTGGATATGGGAGATGGTATATTAAATGATTCTAATGATAATATACAATTTCCTGATAGGTGTATTGTATCCATTAATACCGATATTGTACAAGATATATATGGCAATTTAATACGAAATAAAGAGTTTGATAAAATAACGAAATGTACAATACTTTCTGCAAGAAATGCTGACGTAGATGAAATTAATAAACGAGTTGTCGAATTATTAGATACATTTGAAGAACGAATTTATACAAGTATTGATAGTATTGAAAATTGTGATGATAATGAAATTAGTAAAGTCTTACTACTAGAATATTTAAATACTTTATCTCCGTCATCTCTTCCACTTTATGAATTACGTTTAAAACCAAATTGTGTTATTATGTTAATTAGAAATCTTAGTATCAATGAAGGTCTTTGTAATGGCACAAGATTAATGATTATTGAACTCACTAATCATTTGTTAAAATGCAAAATCTTATCAGATGATAAAATAGGAGATATTGTTTTTTTAAATCGTATAATATTATACTGCACAAAAATGTATATCCTTTCACATTTAAGAGAAGACAATTTCCAATAAAATTAGCTTTTGCTATGACAATTAATAAATCACAAGGTCAAACATTTGATAGAGTAGGAATAGATCTTCGTAAAGATGTTTTTAATCATGGACAATTTTATGTTGCCTTTTCACGAGTACGTTCTTGGCAAACATTAAAAATTTATCTTGGTAATCAACGCGACAATAAACAAGTTAAAAATTATATATATAAATAAATATATAATCTTTATTAGTCAGAGAGAAACAGAGATGGTAATATCCCTTAAAATAGATTTCCTACTTCTTTGATAATAGTAATTATCAAAAAGTAAAATACAAATGATATTATCCTTATTATTTACTTAATTTTAATGACATGTATCATATATAATTTGTACAAAAGACTATCAAATTAAAAAGTAAAACCCAGATGATACTATCCTTATTATCATCTTTATTAGATCATGACCTATATTAATTTTATAATATTATTAAATTTAAAATATTAATATTATAATGTTAAATAAATTTACTATTTTTTCCTTAATTTCATTGTGTTGTTAAATAAATTTACTATTTCTTTTTTAATTTCATTATGTTTTATTTTATTATGTGTTGTATCTTCTTTTTATGAAAAATTTTAATGGCGCGCGCGAAGCGCGCGCTTGTTATGTTCTAGTACATTAAAAAAATACTACATACAAGGCTTATTCAACAAAATGCTCAAATAAGGTACGTATTTATTTTTTAGGTATATGAATTCATTATACTAAAGAAGATCAAAATCCGTGATGAGTCTACTGTAATTCTCTTCTTGTTAATTAGTAATAGAGAAAATTAACTTGTTCAATCCTATTAAATTATATAGAGATAAATGCCTTTTTTGATATCATTAATTTTGATGTTTCCCATAATTCTATGAATTTTTTTGACCGCGCGTATTCGTACGGTACTGAATTTGTGTTACAACATGAGTGAACATGAATATCTGGGATAACTGGGACCGGTTCTCGATCGGACTGCCGCGATTGTGCGCAGCATGTTGTCTTACAGCCCTGCGGACTGTGCCTGCGACGCGACAGTGTCGATACAACCAGTGGTGGCAGTAGGTCGACGTCGAGCGATCCAACGTGATGCGAAAGATTAAATTGGAGTCCCGCTGGCTGGGCCCGTAGATAATTGCAGGTGACGCAAATCATGGAAGAGGTCTTTCAAAACGGCAATTATCAGAGGGAGGCTAACGCCAATATGACCGCCATGGAGACGCGGAAAGAGGTAAAGGGCTAGCTTGTTTTTTACACGCATTCGTCTGTGGCAAATCGATAAGTCGTTCTCTCATCGCGGTACGCCTTTTCGGAGTCGCGGTGCTTTGGCTCGTCACGCAGAGTTACGCGACTACGAAATTTCGAAAAGAATCTTCCAACCGAGCGCTCACTGGATTAGACAGATTTAGAGACGCCGATTAAATTATCTAATTTTAATGAAATCGCGAATAGACGAATGCATGTCGCGCAGGTGATTATCAGAACACTGCGTAGTGTCTCTCAATTGATGTCAGTGACTCCCCATACAGCACCAATTATAGCGAAAAATTTTCAGAAATGTTTCAACCTTTCACATCTCATGTGCAACAATTCTGGAAGGATTCTGCAATATGTCATATGAAATGTTTTAACAGAAATGTTTCTAAAATCTATCACATGCAATAAATTGAAAAACATATTTAAATAGAACAAAAAATCATCATGATGTTAAAATGGCTCCAAAATGTTTACTAAAAATCATTTTATTTATCAATCACGGTTCAGTTTAATATCATTTTGATGTTATTGTGACTTGTTCTACTTTAGTTGCGAAAAATTTTGTATACGAATGACTTATTCTACTTTAATTGCGAAAAACTTTTGTATATGAATAATGATATTGTGTGGAAACTGCAGGTGTGATTTTTTAATAGTAATTATGTATATGTGCTTATATATACATATAATGTGATTAATTAATTAAAATAGTTGATGTAATTAGTATTTTTTAAAAATACTTTAAGTTTATTTCAATAAGTTTTGTAATCTGTGTAAACAGATCGCAAAAAACTCTTAATAAATTTTAAATACTTCAGAAATGATAAAATATAGGTTTAATTGATACTTAAACAATATTTAAATTTATTATGTCGACATAATAAATTTAAATATTATTTAAGTATCAATGAAGTATATATTTGAATATCATTTTTGTAGTACTAGAAATAGCTGAAACCTTTTTGGTAATATTTTAAAAAAGATTGCAGATTCTTTCTGTAATATTTCATCAATCTTTCAACAAGATTTCAAGTGTGCAAGAATTGCGGACATTTTGCTATTCCAGAGCTGTCTCAGAAATATTGCAAACATATTTCGCAATTTTTATGAAATATTTCATTTTCCAGTTGAAATATTTCTGAGATATTTCTGAAAACTTTCGGTGCTGTATCAACCGAATACACAGGTCGTGTTCAACTCTTCCCTCGATCCCTAATAGGTACCTCCGTATATTGGGGATACCTTTGTATATTGAATAAGTTTGTGAGTATACAGCTGTTGCGTACTAATGTTTATTTCACCAAAACCGTGACAATCTTGCATGACTGATAAGGAAACAGATGGATGATAGAAGCAATCACCTTTCTTAAAACTTGCGCGAATATTAAAAGAAGACTGTTGAATCCTTGAATATATTTCAGGATTGCCTGCTCGACCACATGGAGATCTCAATAGTGGAGGCTGAGAAGAGAGCGAATAGAGCACTTAATTTAAGAGAATTCTACACGGTATACCTCATTGAAACTAAGTAAGTAAGAAAATAAAAATACGAATCGTGTAACAAAATGTAACAAAATTAATTAATTTATTTTAATGCAATATAAGTTTTTGTTTTCAAAGTATAAGAGTATAATTTATTTTAAAATATTATTTAGGAAATACTATTACTTGAAAGGCTTCCATTATTCATATAATTTCATTCTTTTTCTTTTTACAGAGTCACTGATCCTGATTTCAAAAATGCGCTAACTAGGATAAGCTCATTATGGCGACGATACACCGAGTTTGAATTGCTCCGTGCTTATCTGGAAATTTCTTATCCGTACATCGTTTTACCACCGTTACCGGAAAAAAAAGTTCTCTACGCTTGGCAAAAAGTGACGACTGATACGTTCGATCCTGACTTTGTTGATCGCAGAAGAGCTGGACTCGAGGTACGTTTTTAATTTGCAATTATGACATACAAAAATGTTGTACTGGAAAAATAAAAAAAATGTTTTTGTACACAGAATTTTCTTATTAGAGTTGCTTCACATCCTATACTTTCACGGGACGAACATTTTATGGGATTTCTTCAACAGACAGACGGTTGGAGAGAAAGTGTTAAAGAAACAGGTAATTCTTATTTCTGTGTATAATAGAAAAGATCATTACAAAATTAAATTAAAAAATAGTAGTTAAAAAGAAACTAAGTAAAGTTTGTCTATAAAAATTAATAATTTAAAGAATATCTCTGATAATTCTTTATTGTAATAATTATTTATTGTTTGCTGTGTAGGGTATTTGCAGATCGCAGAATCGAAACTAAAAGCGCTTAGCGTAGCGGTGCGACTGAGAAAGCCGGACAAACGGTTCGAAACTATAAAAAATTATGGAATTGAACTGCAGGTAAGCTATGAATCAAAATATTATTTTTAAAATATTATATATTTTGTTTTAACAAACGGATCTCTATGATTCTTTAATGAGTAGCGATCTTTGATAATTTGTTTTTTTGCCTGTATTAATAATATCTTCTTAAGGGGATCCTAAAGCTGTCTGTATTACCGACTAAATCATATCATTTTTGTATAACAAATACTTTTTTCTCTTTCACAGATTCGAAAATCCTTTTGCAGGATTGAAGTATACGCATTAATACGTGTTTGTGAGATGGAATTTATGCCGAGAACGACCAAAAATTTCGAAATTAATATATTTTTTATCATTTCTTAGTGTAGACATGGCGTCTCAAGCTGTCAAGTTGTGAAAACATTTGCTTGATACGAAAGTTTTGCAACCTGTATTTACGAAATAGTATTCCACAAACACGTAGTTTGCACGAACAAATAACGTCGAATACTTAGAATTAGATTTAGACGCTTTATCGCGATGAATTTGTTACGAAAATTGACATGCACGTGCGACTGCGTGTAACGTAGGTTGCGTGAGATATTGGTGTGGTAGTATATAAAGACATGTCGATGCGCTGGAAAAACAGCGACATCTAGTGATTTCGTCGGAGTTCGAGTTTCGTTTTAGGATCCTCTTAATTGTGCAGCTTATATGCAAAAATATTAATTATATCTAAAAATATAAAAATATTAGATTTGTTACTTCTGGATTCATTGACTTTTCGGTTATGGACTGAACGTTTTAAGAATGTACTGAAATAGTTGCAGTTATATAGGGTGTTAGTTAAGTATGTTGCCATACTCAACAGAGCGATTCTTTAGTTTATTTCAAGTAAAAAAGTCCATATAAACATGTATCCTAAATGGCTTAATTTCCGAAATACAGGTGA